GCCGCAGATTACTACACATCACCGAGGAGCTTGGCTATGATGTCATCTGTCCCTACGCGCCCACCCACTACCCAGACAATGTACAAAACCGACCCGACGTCTTGGACTTCGCGATCCTTAAAAACGTGTCGCTTCGCCTCAGCTCGATCGAAACGCTCGACGACCTGGGGTCAGATCACAGACCGGTGTCTCAAGTTCTAGGTCCCCAAGACCCACTAGACGCCCCCGCGCCCCCTAAGAGGCTATTCACCAACTGGGACGGATACCGCTCCGCTCTCGAGACCGCTTTAGACTCCCCCGAGTCCCCGTTCCCTAACTCACCGGACAGTCTCGACAGCACCGACAAGATCGACGAAACAATAGACTCTTTAACTTCACTGGTGACCGAGAAGGCGAAGGAAAACTCGCGGGAGGTTGAGCTGCCAAAGCCCAAGCTCCCGCTGGCCATCCGGAATCTTATCCAAGCCAAAAACGCCGCTCTCCGGAGAGCCAAATTATACCCCACCCCCGAGTATAGGCCTACAGCTAATCGCCTTCAGCGACAAGTTAGGTCCCAGTTAGCCGCTCTGAGACACTCCCGTTGGGAGCAACTCATGGCGGACATTACCCCATCCCATCTTGCGTACTATAGAATCGCGAAAGCGCTCCGTAGCGACGTTACCACCCACACCCCCCCGCTCACTCGCCCCGACGGCACCGTCGCCTTTGAAGACGACGAAAAATCTGAGTGTTTTGCAGACAGCATAGCGGCGCAATGCACGCCTAGTACGCAGGAAACTAACCCGCAACATATTCGCGGAGTGGAGGAGGAGGTCCGCCGGCGGGCCGCCCTTCCACTCATTGACAACCCCCTAGACCCCGTCACGACAGACGAACTCAGACAGACCATTAGAAACTTTAAGCAACGCAAGGCCCCGGGCGCCGACGGCATCTCTAACAAGGCGCTCAAGCACTTTCCCATCCAAATGCTAACCTTGCTTGCAATTCTCTTTAACGCATGTTTTGATCTGTGCTACTTCCCAGCCGCCTGGAAAGAAGCAATAGTGATAGGCATCCCCAAACCCGGAAAACCCGCGCACCTCCCCAGTAGCCATCGCCCTATTAGCCTCCTCAAGGCAATGGCGAAACTTTTCGAAAAAACCATACTGACCAGACTAAGAGAGCACCTCCTATCACCATCCGATCCAATTATCATTGACCACCAATTCGGCTTCAGAGCCAAACACTCCTGCCCCCAACAGATCCATCGCATAGTGGAGCACGCCCTAAGCGGCTTCCAACTTAATAAATATAAAACTATTGCAGTCTTCTTCGACGTCGCCAAAGCCTTCGACAAGGTTTGGCACGACGGATTAATCTTTAAATTATATCAATTAAAATTACCTGACCGCCTAGTTAGGTTAGTAGCCTCTTTTCTATCAAACCGCACCTTCCGCTATAGATACGAAGGTTCACTATCTACGCCCCGCCCACTACGAGCCGGTGTACGGCAGGGGTCCGCTCTCTCCCCCCTGCTATACACAGCGTACACCAATGACATCCCTCAGACCAAGGGTGTCGAGCTCGCTCTCTTCGCGGACGACACGGCCCTCTACTCTAGGGGAGCCAGTACAAATCAAATCATAGCCAAGCTCCAACCGGCAATCACAACACTTGGGAATTCGTTCCGCGATTGGAGAATCGACGTAAATCCGGACAAAAGTTCGGCCATTTGCTTCGATCCCAAGCGCCGCACCAAAACCATACAACACGGTGCGCGGTCTCTGCGAATGCAAGGCATAGCAATACCGTGGCACCGCACAGTCAAATACCTAGGGATCACACTAGACAAAAAACTCACCTTCCGTGCACACATCACACGCGTAGTCGCGAACGCGCGCTTTTATATGAGCCGCCTCCACCCGATGCTCGGTAAATACAGCAAAATGTCACTTCGTAACAAGCGAACGCTTTACAAAGTTTGCATACGCCCGGTCCTCACTTACGCGTCACCAGTGTTCGCACACGCGGACGAAGCGATTTTGAACAAACTTCAAGTGCTTCAAAATCGCTTCTGCCGCATAGCCACAGGGGCCCCGTGGTACGTCCGCAACGCGGACCTCCACAGGGACCTACAACTCGACACAATTCAAACACACCTCACAGAGTGCTCGGAACGGTTCTTCAAAGCTGCAGAAGAGCACTCTAACACACTCATTAGATCGGCGTCGGGATACGCTCCACACACTCCATCTCGATTCAGGCCCCGCAGGCCCAAACACGCACTCACAGCCACACACAATAAACTCACGCGCGATCTCGCGGCCCTCTTGGCCGCTGAGGATCCAACACCCGCGGTGAGTCCCCCCCGCCCCCCCGACACAGAGAGGTTCGATTCCTCTCAGTCCCCTCCCGTTTCAAGTGCACATCTGAGTGCACTTGTCCTCTAAGCGCATTTTGCGTTATTTTAAACTATGCACTAGTTTAAACTAACGCAGCGCCGCATCATCCCCCTCTCGGGGGGTGATCGCTTCAGATGAAGCTTGTAAGGCCCTTCTGGCCATAAGCATGAATAAAGGGTGTTTTTTAGTCAGTAGGAGTCTGACATAACCTTACAGCCGGCTGTAGGGTATCCATGATGGATTTCTCACCCTCTCCCCCGCCTGGGAGGAAACAAAAAAAAAAAAAAAACCTTTGCGGGGCGATTCTGTATCGAGCCATCAGACCGAGCGGAGCTCTGAGTTAAGTAATCATTTTCATATTGTTGTTTATAACTTTTATCGGAATTATATTTGTATAATATTGTAAGTCATAATCTAATAAGGAAATTTATTTAGATTAATAAAATGTATGAGTTTACAATTACAAAAAGCTTAACTACCTAATGTCTAAAAATAATATACAATAATATATCTTTGCCATTTACAATAGAAATTACTTCTGTAATCTTAAAAATTAAAATAAGAGATTATTTGCGAGTAAAGATTTTATACTTTGTTTTGGTATTTTAATTTTAATAATCAATAAATAGTGTACTTTAAACATTTAATAATTTTGAAAGTAGTGATTTCCCTTATAAAATAAAGAAATCTGAATCTATTGAATAGTTTTATTTCCATTCCATTTGCTTTTATTGCTTTATATAAGTTTCAAAGTGTTTATAAAATTAATTATTAATGCCAATGCTAACACGCGCAGCGCGACGGGAACGAATGCCACAGTCAAACCGGTTTACGAAGACGTTAACCGATTCAACTCGGTCTGTGCTCTAACCGGTTTGAAAAGTCGAGTCGTTACATCTCTACTCTAGACTTGGCTGTCTTCAAAGCTTTTAAAGACAAATGGGATTCTGCTATGATCAAATGGCAGCGAACATACTATGGGCAGAAAATGTCAAAAAAAGAATTTGTTGTTCTTGTAGGCCAAATTTGGAATAACATTGATCCCCTCACTATCACAAATAGATTCAAAAAGGGGGGGTATTTCCATTGAACAGAAATGTCATTTCAGAATACAAATTTGACCCAGTTGCCTTAAAACGATGGGAAAATATGAAAGTGGATTCCAGTTTTCCAATAAATACCAGAGAGCAAGTAGAGCATAATTCCGTCACCACTCACCCAGGAAATATTAGTAGTATTCCTAGAACATTGGCCTATCTTGCTCTAAAACAAGTCCTGATGAGTCATGGTACTATAGAGTTCTACCCAGAAGGGATAGAACCTGGGGGCGTAGATGTTAATTGAAAGATACTGATAGAGATAAGTTATTTATTTTGTTTTATCATTCAGGCTAATATAAAAGTATTTTATCTAAATACGAGAGGAATTCTTGGTGCCTGAAGATCTAATTGATGAATGGAACCTTCTATCAAAAGACAGACGATTCCTTATTTCAAATTAAAATCATGACATTAACTTTTTAATATAACTGCCAACCGTAGGCATTGCAAAAGCAAAGAGTTTACTTAAACAAGGAGGCTGTAACGTCTCGGACGTCACATCCCTCCGGCACCTCTAAAAAAAAAATTGTTTTGTCATACCAGATGACCGAACAAAATTTTTTTTTCCTACCTACTACATCGAGAGGGTTCGACAGTCCTATCTAAAATCCCTACCTGCTTAAGGACATAAATACAACTGGGAGGTGGCCTTTACTATAGACTAGCCCTCACAATAAGTTTGCAAAACTTGCAAAAAAAAAATTTATTGCAAAGACTTTACGGGAGCAAAACCTTAACAAAATCCCTCGCACATCTCCCTCCTAACCTTAACTTTACTTTACTTTACATCGACATCAGTCGGCAAAAACAAAAAAAACAAAGCTAACCCTAGCTATAACTTAAATTACCCAAGCAATTTTTATTTTATCCCATCTATCAGCAAAACTTTACCCTATCCCATTTATTAAACCATTAAATATCAAGAAAATTTATATTTTGAAACTTCATTACTTCCCATACTAAGTAGATGTACGAAACGAAATTCAAACTATTTCCTAAGATTCGTAAACATTAACTGGATTTGAGCAAAACCTAAAAGAATTTATAATTAATGTTTACTTTCGTACATCTTTAATAAAGATACAGATAGAGATAAGTTATTTATTTTGTTTTATCATTCAGGCTAATATAAAAGTATTTTATCTAAATACGAGAGGAATTCTTGGTGCCTGAAGATCTAATTGATGAATGGAACCTTCTATCAAAAGACAGACGATTCCTTATTTCAAATTAAAATCATGACATTAACTTTTTAATATAACTGCCAACCGTAGGCATTGCAAAAGCAAAGAGTTTACTTAAACAAGGAGGCTGTAACGTCTCGGACGTCACAGTACCCACCCACACAGTCCGTTGAATGTACCTCTCAGTCAAGCACCACTGAATGCTCAACAAAAAATGCAGGCAAATCATTTGAAGAATTAATATTACTTTCTATAAAACAACAAGAAAAGAAGGCCACAAAGAAAAGGACAAGGATTGCAGGAGGTGTAGAAGTAAGTGGAATACAGTGTACGCAATGAACTCAATTGATAAAATGATGCAGTGTACATCTTTCGCTAGAGCTTTGCGAGCGCATATTACGACAGCTCATGTAATAGGCGAATTAATTGCAGAATTTGCAGAGTCAGCTAAAAACATCGAAAGTCATACGAACATAGAAGGAATAAAAAAAAAACCAGTGGATGCGTCAAGCATGGCAGTTGCACCAACTACTGAAGAAATTATAGATATCATCAACCTCAAAAAGCTTCGAATTAAGAGAACGTTAGAAGACTTGTCAAGAAATCCACCATCACTACGTGAAATAAATGATGATGAAGATTTTACTGCCATGAGAAATCTTCTAAGCAGTGCAGTCGAAGTACTGAAAAAACGGGGTCCTACCGCTGAACTGTGGATAAAGTATTTTAACTTCATTTCATTAGCAATACGATATATTGAAGCTGAGAGACTAGGAAATTGGAATCTGCATTTATATTGCGTTCAAATATGTTACCAGTTTATCATGCTGCTGGACATATTAATTACGTCAAAGCTATTCAAATATATCTGCAGCAAATGAGCACATTAAAAGACGTTATGGATCAAAATGAATATCGACTATTCACTCAGGAAGGACACTTTACTGTTCGTAGAACTAATAAAGCTTGGGCTGGAATATGGACAGAAATGCTGATGCGTACTATCCACACAGGAGCTCAAGGATTATCACATGGTCGCGGTATGACATCAAGTGTAATGACACGGTTTTTGGAAGGTATGCCTTACGCCATCGAAATTATGAACCAACTAGAGAATTTTGTTAATATAAGATGGGAATCTTCAGATCAACATACTGATGTCACACCGGCACGACAAAAACGTGACACTAGTGATAAACAAACATTCAAATCCTGGTTTCAAATGCATAAACCGTTCATTTATTCGCCGAAATTATTATCATTGTCAACAGGAATGGAAGAGAATGAAGCACAGACTGCCATAAAGTAATATCAATAGGTATGGCAAAGATGGTAGGATTCAACGCAGAGAACTACAAATTTTCTAAATCAAATACTGTGAAAACTCTAATTTCAACAGTTCCAACGGTAGAATTGGATGGTGAGAAAAAAGTTATAAATACTTCTTTATTTTTTCAAAGAATTGCAGCTGTCATGATGAACGATAAGTCCACGATAAATAACGCTCTCCTTTATGAACTGGCTCCCTAGCAATGGCTTTATTTGACGATAAAGGCATAATGAGAGAAGCAAAAAAATCAGAGCTTTATGACAGTTTGAACTCTTCGCCATTCAATTATATTCCAGTCCAGAAGCTTAGAGGCATGTTCCAGGGAGCCTCAACCCAGCAGACCTAACTTCTAGAGGTATAGGTATCAAACAATTCATTGAATCTAAATGGTGGGATGGCCCATCCTGGTTATATTTAGGACGTGATAGTTGGCCTTCCACTGATTTCACAGTAGACAAAAATCAATTAGATCAAGAAAGACGGAAATCATCTGTAAAATTTTTAGAATATCGAACAGAAACGCAACTGCCATTAGTTTGCAACTGATTTATTTGTTACCAAGGACATCATAATTCTATACAAAAAGGTTACTCCATGGAATCTATGCCAGCTTTGAAGACCATGGTCTCTCACTCTCCATTCCCATAAGTAGGGCTGTAGTATTCTCAAGGAAAAGATTAATACCTACTCCAGAAATCAAAATGGATAATATGATAATTCCTTGCACGGATCAAGTTAAAGTCCTAGGAATTATTCTTGGTAGTAAATTGACAGGTTCCGCACATATTAGTTACATCTCTCAAAGATGCGAAAAGTTGGTAAATATTAATAATAATAATAATCACTCTCAGGGGTATGGTGGGGTTCCCATTCATCTCTTCAAAAATTAATCTATAACGCACTTATTCGTAGCCTTCTCGACTATGGGTTTTTCTTGCTTGAGCCCTGTAACAAAGAATCACTTGTGAAACTTAATAAAATACAGCTTAAATGCCTTGGCATCATACTGGGAGCCATGAAGTCATCCCCTGGTATTGCTCTCCAAGTTGAAGGGGTTGAACCTCCTTTGGACCTGATACGTCAATATCTTTCTGACAGATTTATTTTTAAATGTATGCAGACAGAATCCCCCATACTATGTTTACAAGTTCAGGTTCTCTCAAACTTGATTAATGAATCCTCATACTGGTCTAACAAAATTTTACCTAGGCTAATCATTAGCTACAGAAAATCTACATCCTTCTCGTACCCTATAGCTAAATTTAACACTCACCCTCTTTTTCAAACTAGCTATGATGCCCATATCCTGGTCCCTAATATACTCGTATATCTTAACTTTGGTATAGCTAAAAACAGTCTTACAGCACAAAGGAAGTTCTTAAATATCACCAATGATGAATGATCAAACTGGTTATATATATTACAGATGCCTCTAGGACCTGTCTTTGATGGCAATGTAGGAGCAGCAGGATGGATCCCCAAATTTAATGTTTTATTAAGTTTTCAATGTCCAAAAGAATCTTCAACTATCTCTGGAGAGTTAGTGGCCATTTTGGAACCCATTTCCTTTTTACTCTCACACAGCAAATCCATTATATTCACTGACTCTGGAAGCTCTTTTGAACAATCTGATCAAGTCAAAATCTGTATCCTCTATTATATATGACATTAAAAAACACTTTTAGAATGTCATTAACAAAGTATTGATATTGCTTTACACGACCGCTCATTTCGCTACAGAAAACTAACACGAGTAATCACGCGTGAAAGAACGGGCAAGCGTAAAAAACTTACAGAGAAAATCGCGTGCGAATGAGCGTGCAAGCTTCCCGCGCGCAATCCTGTACGTTCCAAAGAATGCGCGCCACATAGAGTGTGTGTGTGTAAAGGCCTTGTCCAGGACAGGTTGTTTCTGATATAACTATCTATGATATAAATGTCTTGAGCTGCAATTCTGTCAAAGAGATTGATTTCTTTGGGTGAATAGGGATTAAAAATGATAAGTGCCATCAAGAATTAATTGCTGAAGGCACTTGTGAAACAGTCATGAAGTTGAGTTATGTAAAAAATAGCTTGTCTATAATAATTGCAAAATCTAAAAGTCGTACTTTTGTGATAGCAACTGCCATCTTGCTATTAGTACTGATTTTAATGTCTTTGAGCATATCTTGATTTACATTTAGGACCATCAATTAAGAAAACTCATAACATCTTGTTGACACCTTCTAAATCAGAGACCTCCACTTACAGATTTCTTAGCACTGAGTCTGGAACTTTGATATTAAGCAAAACAGAAGTGGATGCCCCCAATGTCAAGAAAGAGAACATAAAGTTGAGGATTGGGAAATTGCTTATAGTCTTGTTCTGTTTCTTTTCCATTGGTGTTAAATCCTATGACAAAGGAATGTAATTATAAAATACTCTATGAATTTAGGGAGCAATAAGTTGATTGATGTTGGAGTATATAAAGTAGGATTCAAGGCCACAGAGAAAAGATCATCTATGAGCTTCTTGTTTTACACTTACCCTTGGACCATCACCTCCTCCAGCACATATTATTGTAAGTGCAATGCTTTAATGAAGTGCAAAGAAGACATTCTTCCATTCAATCTGTTGATTCAATGCAACAGATGACATGGTCAAATTCTTAAACTTGGACAAATCAAAAGCAAAAATTGCATCCTGCAGGAACAAGCTTTCATAGTATGCTTTTGCAAATGGATGCATGGTGTTCGGCTTTGCTATAATCTTAGAACCTGCCCCGAAGAACATAAAATCCACAAGAACACACAAGTCACAATTGTATACAAACTTTGAAGACTAAAGTTCATACAAGGCGAACCGAAAATCTTGTAAGTTAAAGTTGCATACATACAAAATGCCGTGAAATTTTTCGAAGTTCAAACTGCATACAAAAACCGTAGAAATTAATCTGTCTCTGCTGCATAGAAGAATCGGCGAATGTTTTTTAAGTGAAAATTTTATTGAGAACATCCCTTTACATACTGCAATACAAGATAATATTTTTTATTTAATACCTGTAAAGAAAAAACATGTAGAAAAGTTCTGGAAGGAATCATCGTCGAAAACAAGGCAAAGTTTGTTACTAACACTTTTAAGCACTGTATGTATGTTTCGTTCTTTTCCATAGTAAAGTAATTTGTTCATATTAAGGAGGGAATTCATTCTTTAAAGGTCTAAATATAGTGTTCAATTTAACTTTATAAAAAATCTACTCTCATCCTAACATCTCACCCTACCTACATAGACAGGTGATATTTAATTATTATGTATTCATTTTGGGTTGTCGATGAATTCACTGCACCAATGAAGACTTTCTATTCTGAAAAAAGTGTCCAAGTAAAATAAAAAGAAAACGAGAAGAAATTTTGCAGAAATGGAACAAAAGCCTTGTACAAAAAATTGTCTGACAAAAAAAGATTGAAAATATGCAGTCACTGCTTGCGACTATACGGGACTGCACAAACAATTCTAAATAAGAAAATATTATTAAAGGCAATTTTGCAAATATATGTGAAATATTCAAAAATCGCCAACTGATACTGAACTGTGGTGTGCGGTATAGCGATAAGTTAAATCATTTGCGTTAACATTGCACTTTTACTCGCCAAAAGCATACAAATTCTTAAAAAAAAAATTGCCTAGGCTCATGTTGAAACATACAGTAGGTCTTTAACAATTTTCAATTGCAATGTTGGCTTTTAAACAGAAGTATTAGACTAGATGGACAAGAGGTCTGTCAAGATATATGATATATGGCCCTTGTGGCCACGTTTTTGAAACCAAATTTAATATTATCAATTTGATAACTTTGACGATATATTCGTCAAAAAAAATCTTTGGATATGCCAATTCAGGTGAAATTACTGTAACTGATCCCGAACAATTATCATCTGAAGCACTTGTTTTTCAAATAATGTCTTACGGCCACTACTTTAAATGTGCGATAGCTTATTTTTTCATTCAGAATCATCTATTCGGGGATCTGTTAGCAGAATTAATACGTTCTGCAATAATGTTATTACAGGAAATTGGCATTACCGTACGCAGCTTGACTTGTCATGGTGCAACTTCAAATATTATAAAAGCCTATGAATACAGGCTGTTCTTTGGAGGAAGATAAGAAGAAGAAGAAAATTGGAATCCATATTTTTTACACCCAAAATAGTGTTACTAATATGTATTGCCTTTTAGGTGCAGCTGTTAAAATTAGAAACTTTAGCTAAATTAGTTATTTAATTTGAATTCATACAAAATTTACACGAAATTCAAATGCTGGAAGGCTTCAAATTTGCTAATAGATTGTCCGCCACCCATGTGCATTTTAAAAACAAAAAAAATCGTTGAAATTGCCGCTCAAGTCATGAGTTCATCTGCAGCGGATTCTCTTATTTTTTTTTAAAGCTTTTGCTTTAATTGCCTTAAGGAAATCCATCCAAAGGACGATGCTATAACTATTCTTCACAATGAAATAATCGATTCTGTAGCGCATGCATACGGCGATCACAGAATGTGTCAGGATTATAACAGAAAGAAAAAGTTTATAGCGACGGACTGAAATCCATTCATAATTCAACATTTCCGTTCCGGATGAATTCTATTATTTCGAATGTGGCAATAAAATCACGAAGTTTAATAGAAAACGTGAATACTAATATTGTCGAATGTTTTAATAAAGTTATTGCGAAATTTATAGGAGGAAAGCGAATAAATTTTGCCTTAAAACGAGGATACCAAGGAAGGTGTAATGCTGCGGTGCTAAAATTTAATGAAAAGTCAGCAATTTCGTATGTGCAAAACGCATTAACAGATAAAAATCAACCCGAAGTTGGATTAGCTGAAGTTGTGGAAAGGAAAAGGGGAAAAGCCCAGAAAAAGAAAAACAGCTCAGAAGGTCCCATAAAAAGGAAAATCAGGAAATTGGCAGACGCGAAACAAAAACAAAATGACTATGGCTCCGCCAATTTAGATCCGGATATGTCCCAGTCTGAACTGGAAGTAGCTAAAGAAGAATTCCTAAAAAATTTAGAAACTCTTACTGCTGACAAGGACGCGACTGAGCGTAATACAATATTACAAAGAGACAGTAGCAAATGGCTAGAGATTCGAAAAAATCTTATTACTGCCTCTAATTTCGGCCCTATTTGCAAGAGGCAAGTATCAAAAGACACCGCACCGCTAGTTAAAAATATATTATATAAAACAAATTTAAGCCATGTTGCATCCATTGCTGATGGTATTGAAAATGAGCAGCAAGCGCTGCACAAGATACAACAACAAGAAAGCGTGTCTATTGAGCCCTGTGGACTAGATAGATAAAGATTTCCCATTCATTGGTGCCACGCCAGATGGGCTCATTGGAAATGACGTTCTGGTCGAAGTCAAATGTTCTTTTTGAGCATCAAATATTGGCATGAAAAGAGCTATTGAAGAAAATACAAATATTAAAATTTAATAAAAAAAACACGCACTGCATCAATTCATCAAAACAGTAATTGGTTTTACCAAATACAGGGACAATTGCATGTAGCAAGACGAAGGCAATGTCTACTTGGTATTTGGAACAGAGAAAAAGAGCCAGTGCACATCGAAATAATTAAAAAAGATGAAGTATTTTGGAAATCAAAGATGGAATCCAAATTAATACAGTTTTACCATAAATGTCTACTTCCTGAAATTGTAAATCCCAGACATACGCGTGGTATGGGCATAAGAAATCTGACAATTGAAGAAAACAAACCATCTGAAAATAAGGAAAATGAGGAACCTCTAACACAAAAAAATCCTGATTTGCTAACAGATCCTAGTCCCCGATACTCACGCCCAGCATTAAGGAATATATGTGACAATGAAAATGAACCTGGACCTAGCACACGAGAACTAAATTTTAAATAATTTTAATTTTTAGTTACTACCTGTATACTTTATTGGCCTACAGTTTATATCTCAGATGGTGATCCGTCCCCAGCAGTGGAATGAAGCAATGCCTCATCTATTTGCCATAACCCAAATCCGTTCAGTCGTTTAGGAGTGTAAGTGTAACAAATATCCATCCAAAAATTTACAAATGTAATGTAGTCCAAATTTGTATTGCAATTATAATAGACTATTTATCATGTTTGTCTTTCATTATAATACTCATCAAATCATATCTAACAACATTCCTAGGATAGCCATTAAAGTTGATCTACTGATTTATTTATACTGTGGTGTGCTCGCCCGCCTCCAAAGGTCACCGCAGTTCAAATCGCGACGGCTCCTGCGCAACGCGGGCGCAAGCCGTCTTCGTGCGTAAAATGCCTAAACTTTCGGGAAAAGGGACCCTTAATATAATAATTGAGGGAAGTAAAGTGTATTACTAGGTGTTATGGTATTTAATCTCATGCGGCGGTAAGTTTACGGTAACAATATATACAGTTTATCTATAAAGTCGTGACATTAAATGATGGCGCTTCTAGTATGCATGTAGCAACCCTATACAGTCTGGCCAAAATGATTTTGATACTAGCAGTTCATTAAGTAAAATAAGTAATTAAGACACACTATACAGTCATATTTTGTTTCTGTTTTATATACAGTAGGTACCTATGCTTATAAAAAGTTTTAGCAAGCATATTTTATTAAATCAAAATAAAATTATTATAGATAAAATAGTACATTATTGTGTACAAGTGTGTAATATTGGTGACTACCGCTGAGGCGACATTGAGACCAGCCCCCAGTCGATATGCGATCAAAGATATGATATCATAATGGCAACAAGTTATATAACGATTTTGCGAGCATGAACAACCTATCGATATGATACGATATAAAACTAACACGGGATATGCTCTGATATGCCGATATGGAATGTTGCCAATATGTAAATATTTTTTTCTTTTACTTCAATCATCATTCATTCTTTTTTAGTTTTATTTTTCATATTTAAAGGAAGGCAAATGAAACTGGAGTCAATACAGCCAATATAAAAGAAAACTTACTTTTAAAAAGTTACTTGGTCAGTGTCAGTGTCAATAAAGTTTTGTTTTGTCAACGGTTTTTGAAAATTTTTCTTGTATTAAAGATTTTTACGCGAAAAATGTCTGGGAAAACAAGGTAAGTATTTGTAGTAGTACCTTGCCTGCGGACTGTTCATAATATTTTTTTAAAAAGTTGTACATTTTTATGAGAACAGTTTCCCGTTTTTGAATTTACATTAGTTTATTTCACACATTAGTAACATTTATATGTTACCTAACTACCTAGAACCCGAAGTACAGCACAGCAGCTTAAGCTGCTTGCTGATTATATGGCTGCGCATCCGAGCTTGGCTCATGGAGAATTTTCTAGGCCACAAGGAAAACTCAACGAGCAAAGGGAGTGGGAGGAACTGCGCGTCATATTAAATGAACACGGGCCGGATAAATCTTTGGAGCAGTGGAAAGTGGTAAGGATATTTTTTACTGTCATTAATTAATAAACGCTAAGTATTAAATGTTTTTGTTAATATTTAACTAGACAATTTTAAAATGTGATAATTATTAAAAAAAAGGATTGTTTGTAAATGATTAAAACACAGTTTAAAACTCTATTGTATTCTATCATTCAGACTTGGCGCGACTTACGCCGCAAGGCCCGAACTGAGGGGAGTGTGGCGAATCGTGCCAGAAATATCACTGGAAATGCTACTCCAGTACCGGCCATTTCTGAAATTTCTCAGAAAATTCTTGGAGTCATGGGCACCGAAGGAGCCTTTGGGATCCATGGTGCTGAAGAATCTGGTGTAAGTACTCCTTACTACATATGTAATACACAAAGTACCAATTAAGAACAAAAATACAATTGAAGACATTTTTATTACAGATTGGCTTCTCCATAGAAGTTTTAGAGGATGAAGTGGTGAGTCACTTGATTAAAATTTAATTAAACAAAATGTATTGTTGGTGCGAATACATATTAGGTGCAGCAGATATACCTATCTTAACCTTCCCACATTTCAAATATTAAAAGAATTAACTTCGATTGAGTTATGACAAAATTCAAAATATTATTCAAATTATAATTTTTCTAATGAATTGTTCAATAAGGCATTTTCATCTGTATTTCAAAAGAGAAGTACTTTATTTATCATTAATTAACATTATATTCTAGGCTGGACCTTAAGGTGTACAGGACCAAAATAATAATGAAGTAAGTTACTATGTCATAGTAATAGTAGTGAAAATTAAGCAGAGATCACACCAAGATATAAACAAAAATTTAAGTTGTTTAAGTCTTGGTGTGGCCTTCGCTCAAATTGTTTAGTAGCTATTGTAAGTTAATTTGTCAATTTTTATCTGAATATTATTATTTATTACAGAGTACACAAAAGATTTATCAATTTGTGGTAGGTCCAAACCTGCCACATCAAGAACATCAAGTCGAGCATGATGAAGTTTTGACGGTGGGTGAGCTTCTTATTCACTTACATCTTATAATAAAACATGAAATGGAAGTAAAAATAAGACATGGAAAGTACCAGCTTTTAAAATTTCATTTTGTTCACAATAAGTTTGCCAATGGATGGATATATGAAAAACAATTGTTCCCAGATTGTTATTTTGGAAATTTGTAATATATAAAATATATTTTACACTGCTGAGGCAGAGGCCTTCTCTATGGGTTGAACGGGGAGATTGAGCCATGACCTACCACACGTGCCCAGTCCGGATTGATGGGTGCTAATGACTGCAGATGCAGCTGGGATCAATGGCTTAACATGTCCTCGGAAGCACAGAGAAGCTCGAGATAGTAAATTTTTGGTCATTCAATAAATGAGTTATTATGACTAAATCTTTTATTCATTACAGATTAACATGGGTGCAAGTGCCAGAGATAACGACCGTAGACGGGGTGCGGGTGCGGGCGCGGGTGCGAACATTAGCAGGAGGTCCGCTGGAGCTGGACGTCAGCAACAGCAGCAACGCGAGCGACAGCGCCGTAACAGACCCCAACCGCAAGCACGAGCTAACCAATTCTTAGAAGCAGAGCTGGATAGCAATAATATTTTGAGGGTATGTGTCCTTTTACAATAAAAGGGAAAATTAATAAATAATATTATACTTCAATGCTATCACTCAAATATATACATGTTTAATTTTGTTATAGGATATTGCAAATCAATTAAATATTATGAATCGGAACAATGCCGTACGATCGCGACAGAAATATAAGGAAAAGTAAGTACCTAAGAAATATGTATGAGCTATTGAAAATTTTTGGAGCCAGAGAAACTTTCATAGTCGGCCACGATGATACTAGCACATCAAATGCCTATTCGTACTTGCAATTTGTACAATCGAAAACAGCATATCATAAATATGCTCTAAAGTGATCCAAAAGGAAAGATTATTATGAAATTCACTAATACCAAATACGAATAGCCATGTGAGGGGCCAGCAAAGCGCCAACTGTTATGTTTGGGATATTGATACAAAAGAAAAATCTTGTGCTGTTATAATAGTAGATATATATTAAAAATATTACGTGAAGTGATTTTGTATTAAATTTTGCCGCTTTTGTTGTGCCACACGCAGAAGAGTTTCATGCAAAGCCTGTGGTAGATGTGGTGTTTCTTCTTCTACCTCTACTTCACTTGCAGTAGGAGGAATTCTGAAAATATTTCAGTAAATTAACATTAATTCTTCTAACATAATGAAAATAAGAAGTTGCTTTAAAAGTAAACAATATTTACCGAAAATGTTTCATTATGTTGTATAATGTACAACAAGCATAAACTATAGCTGACGCCTTTTCTGGGCTATAATGCAGGCGTCTATCTATACCCAGACATCGGAAGGTGCCTTTAAGGTAGCCATTTGTGCGCTCGATGACATTGCGTGTAGAACAATGCCATGAGGTATATCGATCCACAGGCGAATCAACCACTGTGTTGGTAATAGGTGTCATCATCCAAGGCTCCAGTGCATATCCTGAGTCCCCTGTAAAATATTTTTACTCATTACTCATTTATTGTTTGTTACAGTTTATGGTAGCTGCGCAAGAATTTATTTAAATAATTTTTAATTGTTAATTTATAATTATTATGCAAGTGTCAAATATAAATGATGATTAATAACAACTTATTTTGTTTTTACTTAATACCTAGTCTTCCCCAAAAACTGCATTATTGCTTTAAAGATTAAAGATTGTTACCCTGGTTTGGTATGTATGCTAGATTTCTGATGACGCTTGTCATGTTCGACAACAATGCGGAACTTTTATGTTGCGTTTCATCTGTTGAGCTTCATGTGTTGCGCGTCAATTATGGCTAGTGGATACAAGGTTTGATGAAAAAAGCATTTGTACCTAGTTCATGGATGTTTCATGTTCATATATATTTCGAGATAAATATACTCATATTTGTATTGTATTCTATCCGTAACCCTAGTATCCCATAACACAAGCCTTACAGTGCTTACTTTGTGGCAAATTGGTATTAGACATTAATAAAAAAATATACAGAAAACAATTTTGGTATTACATACCGAGTAAAAAATATTGGCCAGTTCGCTCATTGTACAACCTCTGCAGTTCAACTTTAACTAAAGAGTTATTAAAGATGTACTGGCCATGACAACTTCCCGGGAAATTTCCGTTAACATTTAAAATTTTGGCATCAGCATCACAAATCTGAAATTATGTAAGTATTTAGGTATTTATAGTTTAAAAAGATTCACACAATATCAGGGCAGACTTAGAACATCCTTTTTTTGAAGTCTGTTAAAATATATATAAGAGTAGAGAGCAGGAGGGCTTTTTCAGTAATCTAAAACAAAAATATGATACTTTTTTTTTCTTAGAAATCAGACTTACCAATTGTACATTTATAGTCATATCTCCATGTCGATTCCTATACTGGGAATTAGTTAACCCATTGGGGGGAAATATTTTAACATGAGTGCAGTCTATGGCCCCCAAAATATTCGGCACTCCACTTTTCAACAAGAAGTTTTCTGAAATCTGGTTCCTTTCTCTTGGAGTACCAGGAAAATTTAGCCATTGATGTTTCAGCCTGTTAAGAAAGTTTTTTAGACCAATAATTATTTCAGTATGTATTAGTTTCAAGTCATCTCACTAAGAGATAACAATTTTATATTAGTTTTAAGTAGTCACTGTCACTTTCTTTGCAAAAACAATATAACTATACTAACGGCCAGTTTCAACACATAGTCAACCTCTAATAAAAGGTAAGTATTATCTGGTTCCAACAGTTCTTCGCAACAGATAATACTATAGTCCTATAATAAAAGTCCTGTATAATAAAAATATCTTTGCAACAAAGCAGAACGATATTATATTAACCTTTTGCTAGAGGTTGATTGAAACAGGTAGTAAAATAGGTAACAAATTTGACAAGCATTAAATTTAAATGTGTGTGGCCACATGTAATATATTACCGCACATTTACAGCAGTCACAAATTGGTTTAGGTATTTGCTGACGGTAATTTGCCCAATGCATTGGCTGGCCTCGTTTGCATTTCCTCTTTGGTAGTGGCCATCCAGCAGCATTTTCAATGACGAGATAACCTAAAAAAAGATTTGAGATTATTAAGTAAAAAAAAGGAGTTTTATTGTATTTCAATAATTAGAAGGTAAAGCTATCTGTCTAATAAAACAAACCTTTAGCGAGACCGGGTATCCTGTAGAAGATTGAGCCAAATCTTCTTGCAATTCTGAGCACAAATAATGCACCATTTCCATGGACACCTTATAGTTCCGTACGTACTCATTAAGAGGAAGTAGAAAAGGGTCACGTGACTCACGGATAATGACCATCTCTTAATTTCTAACTTCCTTCTCCTCTGAGGCAAGGAGATTCAGTCGTACAAATGACCTCGACATGCTAATTAACAAAAATACAGCTTTTAGTGTTTTCCTAAGTACAAACGACACTGACCTAAATAATTGTAAGCTTTCGTCACAAAATATGAATTTCACTTTTTTTATGTAACGTAAAGGTAACTTGATTAGATGTTTTTATCTTTGCTTATGACATATCGCGCACTCCAACAGTCGTCGCTATTAAATGTAATATTTCGATATAATTAACGATAACTACTATCTATTAAAAGTTAGTCATGCTCGTAAGTATCGATATAAAACCGATGCTCATGCTCGCACTTTAAACTATCATATCGTATCCTGCCGTATCATATCATCGGCAAGTGCATGCTCGCTGTTTCGATAAAATTTCAACATGGCGGTTATATCTATTGTATTTTAACAGTTGGATGTCGATAAACAGTTTTATCATATCGTATTGTGGCAGTCATGCTAGGCACACAGAGCCTTTAGGAGAGCCGAGGATAGTAATTTTTTAACACAGTTGTTAAGAAAATAATACTAAAAATCATTTTATATAAAAAGTTTATTTAGAGAAACAATTTGTAAATGTACAGTTAGTAAAATTAGTGATAGGTATCTCCACTAAAAGCATCTGGCCATGGTTCTCTGTGACCTGGTGGGAAAATAAAGCGTCCATTTCTTTCTTTGGTCGGCCTTGCCTTTGTTTCCCAGGAGTTTCAAACTTTCCATCATTCTCAAAACCTTCGTTGGATAGTCAACGCAGGCTTATTGTACTATCTGATTTTCCTGAAAAAAAAAGTGAAAAAATATGTAACGGAATAGAAACAATAACTTATTGACATGAAGCAATTAATTCAAAATTGGTAGAAAACCCATCCCAACGTATCAAAAGAAATGGTCGTACATTTTTAGGTTAGATTGACATTGTAAGTAGGTGATATTGCCTACTTACAATGTCAATCTAACCTAAAAATGTGCAATGTAAACAATGCCTGTTTTGGTCTCTTATCTAAATCGTAAATTGAGTAAATTTGTAACTTCAGACAGAATACAAACAAATACTAACACGATTACATACCGCACACTTAATATTATAGTGACCTAACTCAAAATTTACGTAAAATGAGTTAAATGCACTGGTATGACTAAAAAACGCCATCTATGAAATGAGTCATCAACAAGTAGTGTTTTGTTGCTCTTACAACTTTGTTGTCTCTTTCATATTCATGACTTTTATGACGTTGATTGACATAATACAGACTCATTCAGTGTTCGTTCAACCGTTACAGCAACAAAATTTTTTGTGTTTAGTGAAAAAGGGACCTATTAGTGTTTAAGGCCTTTTTATTGTGAAATAAAAGGTAAGTTTAATGCATATTTTTAGTATTATTTTGACTCTTTATGCGATGAGGCTTTTTAATTCTAAAATTTTGTTACATTTAACCGGCGTATTTAGTTTTAGGTCTGTTTAAAACTAAAAAACAATAATAGTTCGTGATCACATTAATGTTTAAGTCAGTTTAATAGTAAAATGTTGTCAATATTATTTAAACAACGGTCATAGTTTAATGTTTAGTCTGTTTAATACTAATTCTGATAACTTGCTCGTGGTCACATAAAGTAATGGGTTTGTGCTTTATTAAAAATAATGCATATTTTTGCGGTCAAAATTGACAATGTGTTCGTATTCAGTAATATGTCTTATTAAAATTAAAATTGTATAGAAAAAATCTCTTTTACTTTTGGACTTATTTTCATCTTCTTTTAGAATGGCTTCTTCGCGATCAAGAAAAATTCTTGATTTAATTAATAATGAAGATAATGGCAGTTCACGTCATGTGTTCTTCATGTACCACGACCAGGTAAGTAATCATTAAATTGAAGGTACTTTATCTGCAGGTCCCTGACGTTTTTATTTACTTATAATAATATTTGTTTGCAGGCAAATACTGTATCTAATGAACTGGAACAACCTAACGAAATTATTTCAGCTAAAAGTATTGATGTCCAGGTAACTATATATAAATTATTTTTTCCATTTATTTGATTATTGACTTTAATTTCAATTCATTCATTTTCGTGTTTCCTTGCAGATGTTACATGATGTAGGAAATAAACCAGAAAATTGTCAGTATTTGAATGCACTAGAGTATTTTAAAGATACTGAAGTTAATGATAGTACTCTAAGACTAGATGACCAGGTATCGTAATCATTAAATTGAAAGTAGTTAATTACTTTATAATGTAGAGGGTAGTTACATTATTATCTCTATTTATTTGATCCTAAACTTAATTACATGTCTTTTATGTTTACTTAAAGATTTTGCGTGATGTTCAAAAAGAACCAGAGAATGCTAAAGACCGCATAAGAACACCTATAAATTATCGCATTTCGCCCATCAATCCTGAAGAAAGTGATGCAGATTTGAGTGATGGTGATCCTTCTTTTAATGTACAAGAAGATAAAAGGGTTAATAATTTGCTATTTCCACCTAATCACGATTCCAGTTCTAGTAGTAGTAGC